TACCTTGTTCAGCAATCTTCATTTATGGTCAGAAGATAGAAACAAATAAAAATATAATTTTGTTATTCTTTTAGCAAAATGGTTCTGCTGAAAACATCTAGGAAGGAAAACATTTTTAAAAATCTTATTGAAAAAAAATTGGTGTGTATTAAAGTAAAACAAATTAATAGAAGGCGCCGCCTGGCTCTTGCTCAAAATCCTATCACATGATCATATATAAGGTGGTGGTGCGATATAAACAATTCATTAATATGATTAAAAACTTGTTGTTTGTTTGTATTTTAAGGGACCTTTCCGAAGTTTCTATCAAATTCAACAACAGAATAATCAGGAACATGTTGTCCGACAAATACACTTTACATACGTTTACACCAGGGGCAGATGCAGCGGGTGGGGGCCATGAGGGCATGAGTTCCCTGTCAGTCAAGCCAAAAATTAAAAAGAGGGTGATAAATTTGAGTTAAATAGAGGAAGAGCTAAAAAAGGAGTGCACCCGTGAGTTCAGTGGATGCAGACTGATGTTACAGTGGCCCTATTTACAATACAATATTGTTTTAAATAGTGGTAATTCCCAAAAAATTTACAGCAGTCATTTTTAAAAGAAGCCCCCACCCCTCCCTTTATCTTGCAAAAGTTGCTTTGAAAAGAAGCCCATTTTGAAAAGAAGCCCATCCATTTAAAAAAAAATCAATATAGGTCTACATCAAGATAAAATGAAAGTCTTGACTTAAATAATTATGGTTGTACTGACACCGTTGTATTACAGTAGACAGAGTTCATCTTCATCTTTGAAAAGTTGATATACCTAAAAAACAATTAAAAAAGATACAATTAATCAAAAAGTAGTAGATGTACTAATCATATTACTGCATATTAACTTTATTTATTTATTTGCAATCACATTCAACAGCGGCAAAAATTAGCATAAAAACACTTTACACAATTTTTAAAAATTTTGCAACAAAAATATATAGCTATTTATTTATGTATTCTGTTTTTGATTCGAACAATAATTTTTTTTTAAATGAGATTTATACATGAGAAAATAAAACTATTATATAATACTACAATACTTTTCCTCTCTTCATATCATTAATATTACTAACAAGAACACCAACAAACAGTCATACACAAAAAAATTATGAAATGAATACTGTAATATTAAGTAAAATTATAAATACAAGCTTAAATAAAAGGTGGTGTGAACCATAATCAAATTCATTGATTTTTTATTGGTATTCAATAATTTTGATTAATAATCCCTTTCATATAATTCATCGCTCTGAAATCATAAGCACAATCACACGTTATAAACGCCTCAGTTCCCACCCATTTGGGAATCAATCAATACTTGTTTGAACACACAGTCAACTGACCAAGCTTGAAACTGTGAAGAGGAGGCCAGTCTCCGGAATACAAACTAAACAATATGGACTTGTTGTAGGTAAGTTTATTGACATTTCATATTGTTTTACGATTGGTAGCCAAAGTAAAAAGATTTCAGTACAGTACAATATAATCTACTGTACAGTACAGTACAATATACTCTACTACTGTACAGTACAATATAAGCTACTGTACAGTACACTACAATATAATCTACTATACAATACAATATAATCTACTGTAAGATACAGTACAATATAATCTACTGTACAGTACAGTACAATATAATCTATTGTACAGTACAGTACAATATACTCTACTCTACAGTACAGTACAATATAATCTACTATTATACAATACAGTACAATATAATCTACTGTACAGAACAGTACAATATACTCTACTGTACAGTACAGTACAACAGTTGGTTACTGTTCTGATTTTGGTATTAAGTCATAAAATGCTGGGGTGTAGTTAATAGTAACGTTAACTCATTACTTTTGTAAATTTCCTAAAATAGTCCAGATATGAGGCTTAGCAACCCACAACCACAGTACTCAGGGGTCCAAAGTCTCCCGGAAGTCGATGGAGTCTCCTGGAAATTGGGAAGGCCTCCCATACTCCAGCGAACATGCAAGAATCTCCCAGAAAGTAAAATATCTCCCACAAATTCATGATATTTGCATGTTTTAAATTTTTAATATTGTATTATCAATTGTCTCTCGGATGTCAGTGCTAATGGGTATCACTACCTACAGCAGAATATATTTAGATATGTTAAAAAACCTCATTGAAACAAATCTCCCGGATGTGGATCCTTCCAACTTGGGACCCCTGCGGACTGTCGCTGAGTAATTAACATAAGAATGTGGCAGTATTGTAAACTTCAGTACAGCGAAGCTGTAATACTTTTACTCATAACTTTGGCAATAGTAAGTCAATTCCAGTAAATAACTTATCATTAAAGCTTAAAGCTTATTATAATGTGGAGAATATGAATATACAAAATTTAAAAGTAAATTTCCTTCAATTGGTCAATGATGCTGGTTTTGGTATCCCCATATTTTCTTATTTAAGTTTTGTATTTAGAGGATTGTATCCTTTTTAATTAATAGACCCTGGAAACAGTGACAGATCCACGAATTAAAAACAGATTTGGCCATTCAGGGGGACTTTTACAATTATAGAAGGTCCAGACCACCTTAGAACCCCCCTGATAATTTGGTTGAGGGGATGAAATTTTAGGGGAAACACTAGTTGGCCCGGCCCCTCTTGAATCTCCCCCCCCCCCCTACATAAGGGAGTCATTGAGCAGCAGTAATACTGTTAGCATGTAGTTAAGTTTAGTTTAGTTTGTAATTAATTTCACATTCCCATCACAGTGAGAACAGCCAATGTTGGCTTGAGTGCCAAAATTAAAAAGATCTTAAAGACGCATTAAAACTACAGTAAATTTAAAATGTTGACAAAAAAGTAAACATAAAAATTTGTTTTAATTGGCTGACCCCTGACCTGTTATGACATAACTCATCTCACTGTACATTGTAGCGTTATTGATTGATTGACTGACAGACAGGCCTATAAACATCAATGAGTATTCATGTGTGTGTAATTGTAAGTCAAAAAACAACGACAATTATTAGTATCATTTGGAATATAAGAACCTTCTAGCTTTAAATATTTTGTTTTAAGCTTTTATACTGTAAGTTTAGTATGAATACATGACAACAATTTCCCTTCATTAAACATTGCAATGACATATATAACAATGTAATTTCTTCTACTCTGTCGACAGATATTATGGGAATTATAAAATCACGGATATTAGACAAGTTCCAATCACTCAATTCAAATCCATGGCTACACCTCAACAAAATGACTTCTGAACACAGCAATGCTAAAGACTTTAATCTATTTGTCTGTCCCATGTGCAGACGAAAATACAATCAGCAAGATCAAAGTCCACATGAACTCAGCTGTAAACACATATTCTGTGCCTCCTGCATTAAAGATCTCCTGAACAAAGAGAGTACTGAACCTGAAGAACTAAATGTTATCTGTTGCCCCATATGTCAGGAATTCCTGCCACAGTGCACAAGGATCGATGATCTGGTTAAAGCAGACTACATCTTCCAAATCAAAGATGCACTTGATTGTAATACGCAAAATGTCGGTAATTCTTGTCAAGCTTGTAAGCTTGGGCAGGATGCAATATCCTGGTGTGGTCACTGCCGCCAGGAAATCTGCCAGTACTGTGCAGACGTCCATTCAACGATGAGTAGTTTCAAAGACCACACTGTGTCTGCTCTGATAGATCCAGATATTGACACACTGAAGATGATCGAATACTGTTTAGTCCACAGACAGTGTACCCTGTCATATTATTGTGCTACTTGTAAGAAGATTATCTGCCCCAGTTGTAAAGAGTTAGAACATGCAGATGAAGAGCATGATGTCAGTCCGCTGGAGGACATACACAAGGTTCGAGATGAAGAATTCAGCAGACTTGTCACAGAGGCACAGAGCAAACAAACTCAATCTATTGATTATATAAGTAAAGCAAAAATGTCTGAAGCAACTCTGCAGACAAATGTTGCTCTTGCCATTAAAAATGTTTATGAGATCCGCAAAGAGCTGGACGATATGATTGACTGCTGGATGAGAAATCAGTTAGAAAAGATTGAACAGACACAAAGAGATGTTTTAAATGGCATATTGTCAGACAAGGAGCATGTTCTCTTGCAGTTCAATTTCCTGGGTCATGACTTAGATTATCTCAAACCATTGACCCAGTCAGACAAAAGCATGGCCCTCAGGTCAGCTCAAAAACACTGCAAGCCAATACTGGCACAGCTGGTAAAGCAGGAGATTCCAGAACTACCAATGGATTCTTATTTGGTGTACAAATTAAATCCAGAAAAAATTGCATGCCTTCCGTTGATACTTGAGGGATTTGGATTGGTGCATATAAAGGTAAACCTAGCAAAAACATCATTTAAAATCCCAGCAATCTTAAAAAATCAAAATGCAGAAATAACCGTCCTTCCATCTGATGAAAGTGGGTCATCATCAATGGGTGGTCTGCAAATGAAGGCCTCAGTTGTCACACCATCTGGTGAATCACTAGAGTTGACGATTACACTGGATAATGGTGATGGCACCTACACAGTAAAGTTCAAACCAAACATGAGTGGCTTACACAAACTTCAGGTGTCATTTCCAAATCAAGAGCATGGCACACTAGAGCATTCATTCCCAGTACATGATGTCAGCTGCCATTCAACAACTGAATTCAATGAATTCTTTGATTTGATAATTACTCCAGTCAAAAAGACAAAAGCTGAAGATATCTCCAAGTTAAATGATGTTGTTACGGAGTTGGTTGACCCAACTGGTACCAAGATGCAAAGTACAGAGAAGAAATATTTTGGTGGCGTTTACATTCATCGCTACAAACCAATCTTATTGGGAGATCACAAGATTAACTTGCACCTTAAGGGCAAGCTTATAGGAGAACTTAACATCAATGTGTACCAGTCTTGGAAGTGGGAACATGCACAAGCCACTGATGTAATGAGCATTGAAAAGGACCACTTCTTTGTCTGTGGCAGAGGCAAATTTAACAAAGATAAAATAATGATGATTGGATCTGATGGTAGGTATATCAGCAGTGACCATTTGCCTGAACAATGTCTGTTGCTGACTTTATGTCATGAAAAATTAATTTATGGACTTTTCAAAGATGGAGACAATTACAAGGTTCAAAGCTTCGACCAAAATTGGCAACAACTGACAACCACCAACATCAATGACCTCCAACAACCAACAGCACTGGTAGTCACCAAAAGTAAACATATTTTAATTTGTGACAGGAAACTGAGCTGCATATTCATGTGCGCTGTAGAGAGCAACATCATTTCAAAGATTGGCAGCAAGGGAAAAGAATTAGAATATTTCCTTGAGCCATCTGACATGTGCATTATGGGGGATAATGAGCTGCTTGTGTGTGACAGTGGTAACAAGCGTCTACAACTTCTGGACATGCTTGGAAAATGCAAAGAGGTGTTCTCTCAGGATGTTTTTAGTGACTGCCTGGCAATCTCATTTACTTCTGATGATGATCTGGTGGTTGTCACTACAAAACAACTGCACCACCTGCACCGATTATCAAGCCGTGTTCTTCAAACTGTACAATTAAAATGCTTGGGTAACCATACAGGCATTGGCAAACAAATAAAACACAAGGTTGTGTGTCTTGGTAACACTTATGCTGTGGTGGTCTGCAGTGTGCAAGGCTTACGATCAACCACTTCGATTTTGATGAAGTACTCAATTTGACAGAGAGAGAACCCCTCTAAAACTTTTTCAAAACAAACTACTTAGTACATGGTGAAAAAGCATAAATTCATATACAGGTCTCCTCCAAATAAATACCACTATTGAGACAAGGGTTTTCATGGCAGCTTTGGTCTTTAATTAGATTTTAAAAATTAGATAAAATATGGGAATTCACTTTGGACTGCAGAAAGGTGGTTTTAAATACTGGTGGTCTATAATTGGAGAGATCTTTAATAAGAGAAAGACCTGTGTTGTGAAGTGTATATACTTGAATCTTAGCATACAGTACTAAGCCTCATTTTAGGAGCCTATATATACTTATATCCTTATTTTAAACCATTGATTTAGGGGGTTTGTGTAAATAATGGCAAAGTCAACTGACCTCTAATAGATGACCTAAGTGTCACCTGACGTGCTGCTGCGTTCCTATCAGCCCCTGCTCTATCAACTTCAAATCTTCAACATCACTTTTAATAGTAGATATCAGGTGGCTCAATCCTTCCTGCTGTTTTTTCAAATGCTAGAAGTAAATAATTACAAATTATTTGTTGCAAATATTAAAGTTTTGTTATTGATCTAAAACGGTTTTAAAAATGGCTTACAAATTAATCTCAAAGCAAAAGTCAGCTTTTCCAAAGCAAAGTAAAAATACCATATTTATTTATAACTTACAGGTAGGCCTAAGAAAATGTTATGTTGGCGTAACAGGCCACAATTAATAGGGTAGGTAGGTAGGTAGCGGATTTTTTTTTTACTGCTGCAATATTAAGTAAAGGCCTTGAAATCTATAAAATCAATTAAATAAATTCAAATTCAAATTCAAATTCAAATTCAAATTTGCTCACGTAAACTTGTATTGTGAAATTTAAATAAAAATGTCTAGGGTCGGTCGATTTTTTAGGGTCGGTCAGGTTACGCCAACATAACATATTTTTTTTTAGGCCTTATAGTGATATTTCTATCAAAAATTTTGCCAGATTTTCTTTTAAGGTCATTTTAATACTATATGAGTGGTATAGAACTAGATGCATTATATGTACAGAATCAATGTTGCCATGTTGCATTGTGGTATATGTATATACATACTGTAATCAAATAATGGTAGAAACATATTGCATTATGAGATAAGTTTAATTATTACTTATGTAATATGTTTGGATTATTCTTTGCTTAATACTAACAATTTTTTTTTAACTGAAATACTAATTCTTTTAGATTAAGAAGAATTTGTTCCGCATTTTTTAGCATGTGGAAAAATATCAACAAACAAAACAAAACAAAACTATGTTTTGTGTTTAGGTTTATTTATATCTTCCACATATTGATACTATTATCACTGTTATTATCACTGTTACTGTACTATGAGTGTGATAGAATTTGGTAAATGCTGATGTTATTACTATCATTTTTGTTCATCATATATTATCAATATTTTTATAATTACTGTTATATTAGTAGTAGTTATTGTCCAACTATTGATTTTGAATGATAAATATTACAAATTACCAACAGATGCACTGATTAAATTTGAATGAAGGATCTTTCCTTAGATGATTTCAAAACATCAAAATGCTGTGTGTTTCCCTGGATAGAATTACATAATCATTGGGTCTGCGCAAGGTGCTGACCCCAGAGCCTCACTGCTGTTCTTGTTTTTGTTCTTGTTACCAGAACTTTAAAAGCATCCACCATCCCCAGTTTTGAATGGACGTGCAGGAAATTTTGTAGACGTAAACTAAACTAAAGGTGATTTCCAACTAATGTTCATCACCATATTTTTAAGTTGGACACCAGGGTTCCCCCTACACCTACAAAACAAAACAGGGGTTTCAGCAAAAACTGTACATTATTGTCAGCACCACTAATTGGGCACGTTGCATGGATGGCGCAGTCGGTTAAGGATGTGTTAACATTTTAATGATTCTCTATACTACATGATAAGCATATTGTATTGCCCACCTGTTTAATCTCCTGCTGAAGGTCGTGATCAATTCCGTAACGTTCTTCACGCCCAACGCTCAACTGGTTCTGGAGGCGAATCTGTGACATCATCTCATTTAATCGACCCTGGAAGAAGTTGAGTAAACAAATGAACATCATATTTTAATACTAATAATCTTTTTTCTTAAGATAAACCCAATGGAAAAACATGGGTTTACTAAAGTTCATATGTCTGTAGAATAGGAACCCAGGGTTTTATCTAAAAGAAGCTCCAGTGAGAAGGGTGCTAGCTTAATAATATTTTCTTTATGTCAGTAAATTTCCAGAAGAGGGGGGAGGGGAAATTATACCATATGCTCCTTCTAAGATACAGCATCATTTCCAAGGGAGAACAATACTTTCTGTGCATAAAGTAGTCATCGTCAGGGCGGACCAGACACGAATATATTTATTATTGTTACTGCTACTCTGACAATCATTATCATTATCATTACGGCCAGCTCACACAGCATTGTATGATGCAGACAGAGGCGATTTATCGTCAGGGACAGTCTTTGGGTCGTCGTGAGCAACGTGACTGTCCACGATACAGACCTAACACAGCTTGCGCTCAGGCTGCTTTGTAGTATGCTGCCTGAGTTATACAGATCTTTATATTTACTAATCATTCCACAAGGCAAAATAAAGACCAGTTGAAGTGAAACCTGATAAAAGCAAAACCAACAATAATCTTGTTAAAAACAATTAAAATAAAAAGAAAACAAAATTTTGTTAATGTAAACAAATTTGCTAATTAGCAATGACGTACTTTCATTTGATTGGGTGCATTCAGTTCGGATTGTAACGCTTCGAGTTGTGTCCTTATTTGTTCTTCGTCATGTTGGATTGCAAGACCTGCTTTGCGTGTCACCTCCATTCCTGCTATTAACTGAAAAATAATTAGACGGAATATAAATTAATAAAAATCTCTAAGCTTATGAATTTGAATAAGTTTATTATGGTCATAATTATTTAGATATATTATAATTACTTAAATCACAGTCATAATTGTTAGTGTTGCAATCCAGTCTGCCGCCCTCTGTCAGAGTCATCATGCACTGGACACCTGGTGTTACGGGTAGTTTTAAGCAATGTTAATAAAGTTGAATTGTTATTGGAAATCTGTCTCTCTCACCGTCTTTTTGGACACGCTGGTGTTACGGGTAGTTTTGAGCAATGTTAATAAAGTTGAAATGTTATTGGAAATATGTCTCTCCCACCCTGTCTTTTTGGGCATCTAAGAGTGTCCTGTAGTAATATGGTGTCAGAAGTGAAACATTGTATCCTTATCCACAGAGTTTTTATGCAATTATACAAAAGGTGTGAACTAGCCTGTACAGTAACTTCCTTCTCCCTATGTCTCAGCTGCTTGGTAAACCGGTGCAAGCTACTTTCGTCTGTCCACAACAGGGGCTTAATGAACCAGCACACCGGGGTAAAAAAATACTAGGCTCAACAGGTTTACCATGATCCAATTATGTACACTGGGCCTACAGTTTATATTTCTCATCCAAGAAGAGTTTATCCACCACCAGAAACATAGACAAGCGTAATACTATACACATATACGCATTATTAAAAATATACAATATTAAGTATATATTTTATTATTAAACACTCATAACTCATTGACCTCAACTGACCTTCAGTACTCTGTGTGACATCTCAAGATGTTTGCGTTTGTGTTCAGCGATCTTGGCTTGCAGCGTGGACTGCTGGTGTTGAAGTGTGCTAATGTCTTTTGCTACCAGCTGTGGATTCAAACATTAGATGCAAAATCAAAATATATATGTGAGCTCAAAATCATCACTAAAGCTTATTCAAAATGTACATCCTATTTTTTCTTACGCTAGCATTTCTACGAGGGCAAAGGGGAGGTGCAAGCGTCAAGAATCCTACAACCCCAGGGCGACCCCTGAGCAAATGAGGCATGTCTTGGCGAAATAATTAAGCTGTCGCACAGGCCAGTATTGAGTAAATGAGCATTAAAATATAGGGGCTCAAAAAATTGCCTAAAAATTTGTTTGTTTTTTATTATAAATCAACAGTATTAGTTCTGAAGTGGTCAACAAACCGTTTATTTAACGTTGTTTTGATAGTTTATTCTATTAAACAAGTGTATGCACAAATAACTTTGAAAGGCAACTACTCAAAATCATGTTTAGCTCTAAGAGTACTGTGCATTCACTT